ACGGAATAGCAAGATAGTGATATCGGAAGAGTCATGTTGACGAGCTGAACATACGTTTTCTTCGGATTCATATTTTATGCAATCTGGAGGAAGTTGTGAAGAAAAAACGAATAAAAAACAGAGATCGTCAGTTTTTGCGTTTTCTGTCCAATAACTAATGTGGGTAATGTAGTTGTACAATTAAATGAATGTAAAAGAGGATTGAAATTTTGGTAGAAAATGTATGGTATTAGAAGAGAAGATAAGGATTTCACATCATAACAAAATATTAACAAAAACTTGATCAATTATGTTTTTTTTAAGGAAGCCGTACCTATTAGCTTGCTGTGAACATGTGAGACTGAAGACAACTTGCTTCTCAGTTCTATGCAAAAAACGCTTGCTTATGAGGCCAATAAACTAACCATAAAAAACGCCTGGAAGTCTATGAAAGGAGCTAATTGAGGAGAGGTTTGCAAAGCTTTTGTTTGCAGGGCTGCTGCTAAGAGTTTATTCAAAAGAGCTTTGCTACGTCAAATGCTTCCGTGGTGGAGGAACAGATGGATCAACTCCATATGGTTTTCTTCAAACGCAGCACTCTCGTGGAATCGTAATATTGAAATACACCGTTCGCTTCACAATAGCAGTTGTAGAATAATTGTATTCCATCTAAAGCAATTCAGCTATATTTCACTCCTAAACACTGCTAATGCAATAATGGAATTCTGTAGGGTTAGAAACATTCAGCAAAACTCTGAATTATTGAGCATATTCTTGAAAAATAAACATTTTTTTTGCATTAATTGAATTTTGAAAAGTTTTCTTGAGTGATCCCCAATGTGCATTAGTTTCATGCCTGGAGAGTTTAATGTGTTTTCAGTTTAGTACATAGTTAGTTTGGCAATGTAGTAATGCGAAAGTCCGAGTTGGAATTGTCAGCATCAATGAAATAGAAAAAAAACACATCGTTCTATAACTACCGTAATTCCTACACACGGTGAAAAAAGCTGAAGCTGCCAGTGCTGGGCGCCTTCCACAAATTATTTTAATTATTTACAAAACTACTCTAATTACTTTTGTCGTTTGCTTTTGTGTAATGCTTTCGCGCTATGCGACGTTGTCTTACAGTTCAAAATGGTACAAAATGAGCAGTGTTATAGGCGAAAGTAAGCCAAGGCGAATGTGGGAAGTGAGTTAGTGTTGGAGGAAGAAAGTGACCGAAATCGTAAACAAAATGCCGTCACCTTGCATCTCGAGCTAGCTGAAGATGAAGAACGACGTAATGATGAAATTTGCGTCAACAAGCAAGAAAGGCTATGCAAAGAAGCCGTTTCAGACACCAAGGGACTTCTCTGAAATCTACATCATCGCCAGAAATTGTTTTTTGGAGAGGTCAGGACAAACAGAAATCTTTTTCTAAGAAAATATGCCTGACATCTTGCACTTGTCTTTGCTCGTGTGGACGCATTTTGCTCAAATAGCAGAAGAATCATACCTAAATCCTTCTTAAGATGAGGTGACTGGAAGGGAAGTTTTCGATTCGCTAAGCCAACGCACTCTTGAAAAAGCTGCTCATTTTTCAAAGTTCGTCTAAAGTCTCTCACGCTTCTGGAAGCTTCAAGTTGAGGATAAGATGGATGCACGAAAGAAGAAGAAAGCGGATGAGCCGTTCTTAGCTGCTGCTTGTTTCGAAAGAAGCGGGATGGCAAAAGGTCTCGAAAATTCTGGCACAGTTTGTTGATTTCTATGAGACCTAAATGTTGCAACGATTTTCCCCACCGGCATAGATTTGGATAGAGTGAGAAACGTTTCAAGCAGGGAGGAGGGGGGGGGGGGACAAATATCAGCGAACAACGGTAAATAGATTTTCACAACGGATGCGCAAGCATACACATCAGCATCGTATGCCAAAGTAATTACGAATGAGCTCACATAAGCTTCCGTGATCCTAGCGCCGCACACAACCACGAACTGCATTAGTAGAACTTTATGGGCCTTCTTCGAAAAGGGGTACATCATTGCAGTCATGCCGAATGCAGCAAAAATTTTTTTAGTATGATTTTTTTTGGAAACACTGCAAGCTATAGAAAGGCTTTTCTATTTTTGGCTACTCAAGGCGTAGAACTCGGGATCTCGCAGCACAAAGAGTCGTACGTCGTAGCATTTTGACCAAACATATTTTTGAATGTCAAAATCTTGGACGCTTGATGTAATTTTCCTAAATTCAATGAACCACTCAAACCCCGCATTCCTTTCAATGATCAATTCATCATGTAATTGATGACTGAGTCATCGTTCTAGCAACTAGCAAGGGAAGCGTGTTTGATCGAAGTGGCCTTTTCAAATGAGAGCCATCGTGCTTTGGAGAGTATAGCACAATGATTCTAAATCTGTCTTCTTTATCTGCCAAGCGTCTCGACGCCGAGTTATGGGCGTTTTTTCGGGTCAAAAAATGAATGCAAAACTGAAACAAAATCATCCAAATTTGCTCAAATTGTCCGATGTCAGGTATCAGAGCTTTATGCAGTGGGCACATTTTGTCTGATATGCTAATACTTAACACTGCTTTATCTGAAGCTGGAAAGATTGTAACAATTGATTTTAGCTAAATTCTGCTTTTTTCGTTCGAGAACGGTCATAGCTCGGCTTCAGGAGGCGCTTGGCAGATAACGAAGGCGGATTTGGAGTTACCGCGCAATGCTCTTCAAAGCTGTATGAGTCTCATTTGGAAACGCCACTTAAATGGTTCCCATTTAAGCAGTTTTTTTTATCATAAACATAGTAAGGGATTTTTCGTCAACAAAATAATTGCAAGCGAAGGTCTAGGTAAAGGGTCACGTAAGTTGAGTGTCACTTGCTTTCTGCTATGCTTTCTGAACTTTCTAGCGTCGCACCACAACTGCAGGGGATTGGGTATATGGGCTGCTGCTGCTGTGTTTAAACTGCGACTACAGTGGAGTGGATGGTGTTGCTACTGTGGCCTAACTGCGGCTAAAATGGAGTGAATGTTTTTACTGCTGTTACTGCAACAATGGAGCGGATAACGTTGCTACAGTGGCCAGCGATCAAAACAATAAAGTGCTGCTGTTGATTACAACTGCAACAATGTAGTGGTTCGCGTTGCTGCTGCAGGCTTACACTGCGACTACAGCGATGGAGGACTCTTGCTGTATTACTTTGCAACTGCAAAAATGCAGTGGATGATGTTGCTGCTGTGGCTTACAATGCAACCGCACCAATGGAGTGGATGGCGTTGCTAGCGTGGCCTACACAGCGACTACAGCAATGGAGTGGATGGTGTTGCTATAGTGGCTTACACTGCGACTAAATGGAGTGGATGATGTTGCTACTGTTACATGCAACTGCAGCAAATGAGCGGATAGCATTGCTAGTGTGGTCTAAACAGCCCCTACATGGAGTGGATGGTGTTGCTGCTTTTACCTACATGCAACTGCAGCAATGGAGCGCATGGCGTTGCTATCGCGGCCTACACAGCGACTAAATGGAGTGGATGGTGTTGCTGCTGTTACATGCAACTGCAGCAATGGAGCGGATGGCTTTGCTAGCGTGGTCTACACAGCGACTAAAGCAATGGAGTGGATGGTGTTGCTATAGCGGCCTACACTGCGACTAAATGGAGTGGATCGTGTTGCTACTGTTACATGCAACTGCAGCAAATGAGCGGATAGCATTGCTAGTGTGGTCTAAACAGCCCCTAAATGGAGTGGATGGTGTTGCTGCTTTTACCTACATGCAACTGCAGCAATGGAGCGCATGGCGTTGCTATCGCGGCCTCCACAGCGACTAAATGGAGTGGATGATGTTGCTGCTGTTACATGCAACTGCAGCAATGGAGCGGATGGCGTTGCTAGCGTGGTCTACACAGCGACTAAAGCAATGGAGTGGATGGTGTTGCTATAGCGGCCTACACTGCGACTAAATGGAGTGGATGGTGTTGCTACTGTTACATGCAACTGCAGCAAATGAGCGGATAGCATTGCTAGTGTGGTCTAAACAGCCCCTAAATGGAGTGGATGGTGTTGCTGCTTTTACCTACATGCAACTGTAGCAATGGAGCGCATGGCGTTGCTATCGCGGCCTACACAGCGACTAAATGGAGTTGCTGCTGTTACATGCAACTGCAGCAATTGAGCGGATAGCATTGCTAGTGTGGTCTAAACAGCCCCTAAATGGAGTGGATGGTGTTGCTGCTTTTACCTACATGCAACTGTAGCAGTGGAGCGCATGGCGTTGCTATCGCGGCCTACACAGCGACTAAATGGAGTTGCTGCTGTTACATGCAACTGCAGCAATTGAGCGGATAGCATTGCTAGTGTGGTCTAAACAGCCCCTAAATGGAGTGGATGGTGTTGCTGCTTTTACCTACATGCAACTGCAGCAATGGAGCGCATGGCGTTGCTATCGCGGCCTACACAGCGACTAAATGGAGTGGATGGTGTTGTTGCTGTTACATGCAACTGCAGCAATGGAGCGAATGGCGTTGCTAGCGTGGTCTACACAGCGACTAAAGCAATGGAGTGGATGGTGTTGCTATAGCGGCCTACACTGCGACTAAATGGAGGGAATGGTGTTGCTACTGTTACATGCAACTGCAGCAATTAAGCTGATGGCATTGCTAGTGTGTTCTAAACAGCCACTAAATGGAGTGGATGGTGTTGCTGCTTTTACATGCAACTGCAGCAGTTGAGCGGATGGCGTTGCTAGCGTGGTCTACACAGCCACTAAATGGAGTGGATGGTGTTGCTGCTGGTTACATGCAACTGCAGCAATGGAGCGCATGGCGTTGCTATCGCGGCCTACACAGCGACTAAATGAAGTGGATGGTATTGCTGCTGTTACATGCAAATGCAACATTGGAGCAGATGGGTTTACTCCTGTGGCTACACAGCGACTAAAACAATAGAATGCTGCTACTGTGACACAAGGAGTTTGAGTACTCCTCTAGACGTTGATCGTGGACGTATTAGTCTGCCATTCGAACACAAACTCCATAAGAACTAAATCCTTTATTCATCCTTCTTATTAAATCACTGCGTTCATTGGTAATCATCAAGAATGCCTCCTTTCCATAATGGAAACACTTCCATACGACCAGTACGGGCATCCGTGAAACGATAGAGATGATAACATCTTACAAGATCCGAGAGTGATCGGAACTGAAATCAGAGAAGTTTCTAGAAAATGGCTTGCTCAGAGTCTAACAAAACGCACCGATTGTGTTTTACTGTTGTGTCCGATTTGAACGTGCCACCATTTCGAGCCATTATCCTCGGCATACCTTACCACAGGAAAGTGGAAAAGCTAAAGATTGAGCTAGCCAACAAAAATTCGACGCAAAACTTCGCTATGCTAAAGTATTACTCTGTTTCTTGTGTTCCTGTGCGCTAAGTATAGAGGAATGGCGACGTCGAGATCATCATCCTCTTCTCTTTTGTAATACAACACAAAATCGTCGGGTTTTACTATAGCGCCAGCCTGAAAATATTATTGACATTGAATGACACCTTACAAGTTCCCATTTCCAATCATACCTCTTCGCTTGTACGGACGCCAATAAAGTGCTCTTCTATGCGCGGGTCAGTAGACGGGCGATACTGCAAATATGAATTTCGCTTTGCTTAATAATCGGGAAACAAAGAACCGACGTCGGACTCAGCCTGGGGAAGAGGGACAAAATGAGACATGTCAGTGTCCCGGACATAGATAGGGTCGGTCATTTCCGAATCCTGAAAGGTGCGGTGGATACCAATGACAAAACGCTTCGCTGCTTATATAAATTACAGCTATAGTCCATTTAGTTGGCTCACAAACATAGAAAGCTGGAGGCCGATCATCCTCGGAAGACTTTCCTGGCTAGAACAGTCGGAGTATTACAAAATCCTTTCTAAAAACTTACGACCTCGCTGTCTTCATCACTGCGCCGTACCCTTCTGTCGTCTACCTTTCTTCTATCTTTTGCTTTTCGTCTGAAAGGGAAGTGCTGTGAACCACCAGCCCTTTTCCGTATTTGAAGGTGAATGTAGAGACTCCGAATTCAGACCGAACGAGGCCAAACTCCCGTACCGGTCATCCTTGCTTCTCTTCTGATAGTTTCTTGAACTGGAACTCATTTTGAGTTAAAACCGTATACGATGAATGCCAGAATAAAAATGCATCAAACTCAATACAGCGCTCTGTCTCAGATTGATGTAAAGTTGTTTAGCAAGAATTTGCTTCGTATCATAATCAGTTTATCAGTGTGGTTACTGAGAGGAGGTGCATACAGCAGCGTGATTTCGTACTGAGCAAGCGGACTGAAAATGAAAGCTGCTTTACTCATTAACCAATTTTTGACCACACATCCTGCGCAATTTTTTTGAAGTTGCTTATCGTAATCGTGTGCAACGCGTATTCCAATGTTGTATTATGAACTATCAAGAAGACTAACGATTCTTCAAATGTCTGTAATGCTCCACCTCCGCTGTATTGGAAGTAATAGTAGCGAATACTGACCCTGTACACTAAGGATAGATATCAACGGGTCCTCATGACGGGAAGAAATCTAGTATGCGCATAAAATAGGAGATACAATTGCTTTACTATGTCCTCTTCTGGGTGTAAGTCAATCCGAACGAGAAGTCCATGCACGATACGGTTTATAAGTCGTCATAAAAGCACGCGATTGCCACCGAAGTCCGCGACATTTGCGTCGAGTAGCCATCATTCGATCCAGAATGGATGATTCTTTAGAGGCAGTAGTCTATAGCCCAGCGACACAGCGATAGTCGGACTGCCATAGCCTGTTTGGATACGTACGTATACGGCAGGATGTCAGCTATACATGGGCAATGTATGGCGTCGTGAGGAGTTAAACGTTGCCTTTCGATTTGATACTCATTCATTGTAAAGCGATATACATGTTTTATTTGTTCTGATTTACTTTGAATTTAAATCGTAAAACGGTGTATTTTCAAACTTTATTCATTAACTTGAAAACGTTTAATCTTTCAAAAAGCTGTCCGCTTATCTTTGTTCCAAGATACCTTTCTCAGTGTCGTGATTTCCGCTAAAGCGCACCGTCGCTACAGTAACACAGGGTAAGCGGGACTTAAAATACTTTCCGCTATATGAGGCCCATCCCAACTCGACAGTGCGCTGAAATCTCTGAAAGTAGTCGAATTCAGCCAGGCATGAGAATTTTTTTATAAAGATTAAATAAACCTGTAGTCTATGGAAACTAACTAGCTTTGTGAAAAAATGGCCTCCAAAAATGTATTTAAAATTTTGAGGCCCCCCCCCAAAAATTGAAAAGCTTCCGCAAGTTTCATCTACTCAGAAAACACCTTATACTTGGTCACTTCAGCATAGGTCAGGTGCTCGTCTAACGGAGTAAGGTATTCCCATTCTGCATTGATTTAGTGGTTATCATTTTGATGAGGTATTTATTTTTATCCATACTTGTAGTTTATGGAACGAGCCCTAACGAGCCGGAAACACGCACGAACATATGTATGACCTCTGACAATGGCGACGATGATTGAATTGCTGCGGAATGCAGTCAATTCAAGACTAGAAGGCTACCTTACCATAATTCTGAGCACACGCTTTGCTCTCTTATTCAAAACTCATCTCTTTTATAAACACTACTGGATGCAATCATCAACAGAAGTTTATCATGGGATTGAATCGCTTATTCCTGCTCAAGCATTTTTTATCAGGTAAGGTGGAGTCACTTACTTGCGTACTACACAACAAGCGCGTTACTTCACGACTTCTCTATATGAAAATGTTAGTTTTCAAAGATTTCTGCTCGTTTTCCCACCTTTCAACGTGATTGATTAGATTGAATAGTATTACACATTCGAACAGCCATTACGCTAGTTAGTGCTTTACCAGTGAAACGTCGATAAGCAGTCGTGGATTGCCACGCATGCTGTGCAGACTCACATATTAAGTTATGGATAACTCGCCTATAGTGATTTCACCATTAGAAGAGATTAGAACAAGTATATTTCAGTCTTCTACTATTCTTCATGTTTTTTGCCGCTATGATTGGAATATGCTTGGTGGTTTCATGGTGTTATATGTTTATGTGGATAGAGCGACGCCTCGATAAAGCTGTTCCTAAAGAATATTACCTTTGATCCAAACCTGCTTCTGTTATGAATTTTACGAACTGGCAGTAAAACACTTTATTTCACAATTTGTGGATGCTTTACGCACCGATTTTTGAACATTATTATTGAGACATGGGTACATAACTGAAAGACTAGCGAACAACCATATGAGCAACTGACTTATACAATTGCAATGAAATTCCCTAAAATTTCTTGTGACCTAGTGGCAGGTTCTGAAACGGACCTTATCTGTAGACAGCCTAAAGAGAAAAATGCAAGAAAAAATTAGCTGTTTTTTTTACCAAGGAAGACAGTTTCCAATCATCAAGAGTAAAGCAGTATATGGCAATAGTAATGTCAGCAGAAATCAAAAAGTAAAAAATAAGCCTAATAGCAGCGACGGACAAAAATACTTTATTGTATTGAGTGCCTTTAAGGAGGAGCGGGAGAGATTTGTTTGAAAGCGAGCATGTCCTGCAATATACAGTATCATACTATCTGACTTAGGCATTAACTAATTTTTGCTTCAAAATAGTGGGCGTTCAAGAGACTGGTAAACGAATTTCGAGCACCTTTTATGGTAGAAAGTCTTTCACTGATGCATAAAAAGTTCAGGAAAATCTGGATATCTGAACTTCCCAGTACCTTAGCGGCAGCTCATATGATATGACCGTAGCCGAGAAATATAAAATCTATCCAGACAGTCATCCTCCAAGAGGACCAATCAAATAGGTAATGTGAGATGTCACTCAAATGATAAATTTAAAGGTTCTGATCAGATGTAGTATACCCAGGTTTTTTTAAATACCTAGGTTTTAGATAGAAAACCTAGGTACATAAGTTTTTCTTGGGATTCTTGGGCCAGATCACCCCCGCCCCCTCTCCTCCCACGCTTTTCGTATCCGCGTCCGCCGCTGCTAGATAAATCTTTGGCACATAATGAAAGCATTCTTACCTAATAGAATAAGACGAAAGTCAGATAAAGGTGATAAAATCAGAACAGAACACCAAAAAAATGTGTGAAGTAGGCGTGACCTGCTCAAGTTCCTAATGGTCATATAGGCTATTTCCAGGTGGAGGGTGAGACGCAGGCTTTGCCACATATAGCAACAGAACACATACAAGATAATGAAAAAGCAACAGTGAAAAAGTAGGACCTATGACGTCACACTAATCAATACAGCTATCTTCCGAATCAGAAATCAATGACTCCCATCCTTGTATGACTAGTTTATGTCGATCAGCCTTAACTTGCGCTTGTGATACGATTTCAGCCGTTTTCGATTTGTCCACACTTGTTGTTAAATCCGTTGGTAAAATCTGCTCCGTGGCAAATCGGGGCGTATCGTCTACAAATGGAATTCTAGGCACTTGATTAGCGCTAGTACCCTCCTCATCGCTCGGATACGGTGACCGTTCCTCCGGAAGTTCAGGTAATGTGGGTACGGTAGCAGTGATGCGCGGGAAGACGAGACCGTTCGGGTGTGCTTTTCGAACCCGACGGTATTCCCCTGACATAAGTTGTGGCCGCTGCAGCTGTTGTTGATGTTCTGCATGTTCGATTTCTGGAGCTTGAAGTTCTTCGACAATTTCAGCGATGGGGGCAGAGTTTAAGGTTTCCTCGACTTCACTGCTATCTTCTTCCCTTACAGTGGTACTTGCGCTATCGCTACTTTCAGGGGTAACGATAGACTTTGATCGGTAGTTGTCGAGTTCCTCATAAATGTGATCTAGTTCCTCGTACAAGTCATCAGACGATGTTGCTCTGGTAGTTCGATGAAGTGGGCGAGGCTTTTCCTGTATTTTGAGTTAAGTTTACCCGTTACAAATGAACTTTATAAGAATACCTCCGCAGCTGCCTCTGGCCCTTTCGTCACTAGCACATCTGAGCGGCTTCGATCTGCTCGAGATGACAGCTCAGAAATGATAGAGTCCTCAGATTCAGCCAGTGGAGACAGAAGCAAGCTGTCACTGAAGCCGTACCCAAGCGCATCACTGTAATCAGGTATGTGTCTGTCATTTTATTTTTGTAAACTGGATGGACTATTGATTTTTTTAGAGTTTTACATTCCATGCTGAATAAATGGATGTTTGTCTTTTTGTGACATAACCATACACAGTCTGTATAAAAAGATCGAAAGCTGTATTTGTCATCCATGAAGGGATTTGAAAACAGTTCAGATTGTCCTTACAATTATCTAGTAAATGTACACGAAAAATGGAAATGTTGCCCTCTATTAGTCTCATCTCTTCCCTATCTTTTCAAATCTCATGCTTTCCGGGTAGAGCAAAAGCCACTCAAGTTTATACCGCATTATATGCAGGACCATGATTTATGTTTGGATTACGCTTTCAGATTGCGGGCAGAGCTACAAAAAATGTTTTCAATCCCTTAGTCTTCATACATGACAATGGTAAATGGTTAGCATTAGAAATGATCCTAGAAATAATTTTGGCTCGTCTCCAAGCTATACATAGAGTTATGAGCTTGGGAATCTGTTTTTTGCATGGCTTGTTCTTTACCTTTCTACCATGGACTGAAGAAAGTTCTAGCCCAGTTATGATATAGGTTTTTCTTCATTTCAAAAATTCTCATATAATATTCTCAAATTAAAAATTCTCACGTAATATTCTTATATATTCTCGTAACGCTAAAACTCCTAGCATGCGAACACGAGAACGATATAAAATGTGTTTTGTCAAACCTCTAAGCTCCGGCCAGATTTCGCTCAAAACCGCCCAAAGGCGCCCAAAAGCGCCAAAGTTTCTCGCGCTTTTGGGCGCTTTTGAGCGAAGACTAGCCGGGGTCTTAGGCATCATGACAACTACTTTACCCTGTGTGATAACTTTGCTTCGACTGTTACAAAACACATGCATATAATAACATTTACTGCCATTCTGGATGATGAAACAATAGAAAGACAAGTTCACAGAAGTATGATCTGGAATTATCATTCAGTCAGCAAATGGAAAAACAAAACAGGAAATCAATCAGGTAAGAAATACTGTAAAGCATGGCAGCAAGCATTATCCAAAGACATGGAAGGAAAAATCCAAAGAGGCGTGAGAGGAAAAGCTTTGAATGAGACTTTGATAGAAGCCCTGAGTTACTAGGAAAAGCCATGTTCTGATATAAATTCCAAGATCTTAGAGGTAAAGAGATAATAATCACATGGTAAAAGAGCAATGTTTCATAATCGCCGAATGACTGCAAGTAAATGAGGTGCAATATTGATTTTTTGAATAGTGTAACTGACAAAAACTCAATAATTTGCCGTGATATGTTAAATTTTCTAACAGTTCGAAGCAAAGCTATCCATCCACACGCTTTCATAAAATAATAAACTCTTCTTTCGTTGCGTCAAACAAAAACAACCGGGGGAGAAAGGCATGCGAGAAAAATCGATATATCGATTATTTGGCCAACACAGGATGAAACAGAATTTGCGCAGCTGAACAAAAGGTTTACTGAAGCATTTCCTCACTTGACAAAACAATTTTTTTCATTCCATCAAATGGAGCTAGTGAGTTGTGTGATGGTCAAATAATCAATAATCGATTTTGGAGAGACTAGAAATCAATAAAATTCTTACAATTGCGCCACAACATTCTGCAAGACGTCACGGGTTTGATAGAGATGGAAAATTTCTCGCGAATTTGCTCGTGTTGGTCCTTCTCCCGGTAGTCGATTCGGGTCCGGTCGCTCATCGTAACCACTAGGCGATACTCCCGCACTGGTACCATAACCAGGGGTAGATGTGTATCGCTCGCGATACGCTGGCGATTCACTGCGATGCCGCTGTCGATGTTCAATTTCGCGATGAAGTTCACGCCGTCGTCGATGCGAACTATGTGATCGTCGTGTGGAGCGATATCGCTCAGCTTCTTCTGTGCAGGAGTATCGATGACTTGTCGATGGTTCCACTTGCGTTTTGATGGTCCTGGCGCGATTTGGTTCTACGTAGAGCGGACTACTGGGCTGACGTGTGAGATTAGAGTCACGATAGTGAGCGGGTGGTGGAGGAGGTAGGGTAGCGGAGCCGCGCACTTGCTCGTAACCACTTTGTCCGTTCAGGATAGGTGTTTCCCTTGGTTTACGGTAGTCCAAGCTGGTATCGGGAACGGCTGGATGTGATACAAGTTCTCGATAAGTGCTCGCTGGTGCAGGCGGTACGGGGCTCTTTGGAAATGGCGGCCTGAAAAAAAACAAGTCATTTAAAAAAATGTTTAAAAACTTAGGAAGGAGGTGGTTGGGAGAGGAGCGAGTGCAATTCTGCAAACAATTATTTCCTACATTTCGTCCGTGGGATAAGATATGTGGTTAACCCCACCCACTTTACAAACCACGCCCACTACGCTCCGCCCCCCCTCCTTAAAAATATTGGGTATCGAACCTGCTGAGGTCCTCTTGCGAACTAGTGATCAGGGGATGAGACACTTGCGAGAATTCCGTCGATGGCGATTGCACCACATAAGCAGGTTTATCCTTTGACGGGCGGGGCAACAACCTTAACCAAGCTCTCTGATTGGGTAGTCTTTACAAAAATTAGCGCTAACCTATCATCAAAGGAGTTAACAGTAGGAAGTTGGTATTGATGTGTTGAGGGTGGGTGAGGTGTCGTAACAGCATTAGCGAAAGGAGACCGTGGTCCGGAGTACGGATCGTAGCTAGAATAGTTACAGTAATTTACAGTAAGCTTATGAGGCTCAAGATCCCACAGGGTAATTTTCTTCCCGCCAACTGGACCTCCATCAACTAACGTTTCCTTCCACTGTACGGCTTTACTATGATGGGAAGGTTGAATCGGCCGATCATTGATGAGTGTTTCTGTCCTAAATCAAAATTAATCGATATATCGATTTGTTGATCGGTTCACTTAACCCACCTATGACTACTCCACTTCTCATACGGTGGTCCATTTATCCTCAAAAGCTGAGGCCGATCATCGATGCTAGGTACGGGAGGCGGTGGCAACGTCACGACACGATCAGGATGAGCCGGATCCAGCTGAATATATTGATCCATGGATTAGATCAATATCGATTAGTTCACTTACCGGCGCTCGAAACACTTCAACAGTGGTTGTTGTTGTGACCGAGTCGTTGATGAGAGCATCGGCGGTTTCACTTTGAGACCTGCGAAGTCCAGTTTTGATCGGAAAAGGGTCGAATCGTCCCTAAATGTGAGCAAGAACAATCAATCAATAATCGATTGACTGGTCAAGTTTACCGTATGACCACTGCAATAAGAGCTGACTGTGCCAACGCTAATTTCAACTTATAAAGTAAACAACTTCTATTTCATAAAAACCCAAATAGCGTTGTAAAAAAGCTTCGGGGCCCGCATTTGAAATTCGTTCCAAAAAATTTGGCTAACGTCACGCCCCCAACTCGGGGAAAACTTTATGGCGCTCTTTTCCCTAGAAAAGATCTGGGAGGTTTGCTGATAGGTAAATATACAAAATTGTGAATGTATAATTTGACCGCACATGAGTTTAGACGGTTGTACCCCCTCCCCCTCCCCCTGCCCCCGCTTTGTCTCCATCAGATCTGCCCTAAGACAATTATCCACTTGCTATCTGATGTTTACCTAGTGTCGACCAATGTAAACAAAAAGCTCATTTACACACACTTGCCATGAAGTACAAGCTCCCTCGGCCTTACACCCCCTTCCCCCACATAGTCTTCCCTTTGAATTACTCACCGGATTAAACACATTCAAAGTGACCTTCGACGGCTGGATGAACTCATCGGGTGGCGAATCTCGTCCGGTAAATGAGTAGACCGGCGATCGAGGTGGAGATGGTGCCAAGGTTCGAGGAGCAGGTTGAGGTGAGCGGTCTTGGCGAGAATTTCGTATCTGCTCAGGTTGTGGTTGTGGAGATGTGGCAGTGCTAATGTGTAAAGCTGGCCAGCCTAAAGAGCAACAATAGATATACATTGAATTTAGCGGAACTGGAAAAATAGCTAAATGGGTGTGGCGCGAGCAGTCAGACAGCCAATCGCAGCGACCACATCCATTCAACATCATCCATGCGCCAAAAAGCGACTTTGACTTGCGGAAGCCAAAATATACGAAAATGATAACAAAAAGCAGATTGAAATTTGCTGAGCCGTTGGTCTCAATCGGAAGCTCATTTTATCCATCTCGGAAAAAAAATTAACACCTACTTGTCGTGAGATTCTCCTGACTTGTTCCTGGCGCAACAGCATGCATTGTTCCGCTAGGTGTCTCAATCTGAGGAAATTGCGATGGAACGTACCATTGGTGACCTGAAACATACTATAACGATAGATGATCGGGAATGTAGATTCTTTGAAAACGTATAATAATTGCAGACATGTACTAGAGATATTTTTATTTTGTTCCGTTACAAAAAACGCGGAATTTATTTGATAACAACATAGTTTTGATGAAGTTCATTAGCGTGTTGGGAATCAAGAATAGTAAAGACTGCTAAGAGATCTCGCGCATGCTACTTTTACTCTACCATTCAAAAAAGTTAATTCAATTAGGGTATACTACAAAAGTAGGTTCCTGTAGATGTATGTATAGGTATGGCCTATTCTGCACTAATTTTGAAGTAGTCGCTCATCATGTTCGTGAAGAACAGGCAAAAATTGATTCAATAGCAGAGATTATGGATCTTCTCAATTGCAAAATGCACCAGAGTGATGCATCAAGCAGCGAGTAAAGCATATTGAAAAAGTGAATTTGAAGAGTGAAAGTGAGGATGAGGTAAAACATAGAAGACAGTTATTACAAACAATTATGAAAATAGCTCAGAATGCATAAAAATCCAGAAACTTAAGAATTAAAAAATTTCAGTCTAAAACGGAAAGTTATTATGTCGCATCCTCAGCCAATCTTGCTCAAATTCTAGAAAGGGTTAAAACACCCCACCAACCCATAATGACACAGAAAATTTGGGCAAAGAAGGATGTTATGAAAAGAAATACTCTGTAAAGTGTGCGCGAGGCAATGTGGGATTTGCCGGTGTGTGCGGCATCTATCACAGTCAAAGCTACAAAAAAATGAGATGAGCCTGAAGTGAATTAGTGCAAGAAAATCTTGGAATCACTCAAACAAAGTTCTGAGGACGGATAAGAGGGCAAAGGAGGGAGGGCAGAGATGATGTTTTTAGGATAGAATGCTGACAACATATAAAGAGTTATGGTACAGTATAGAAGGATATAAAAAACAACTCAAACGACATTATCTCCTCTTTAATTCATGATAATTAAGGCTAGATAACGATCAGAGAGCACGCGCGTGGCAGAGACGCAGACTGCGCCGCGGGCGCGAGCGGCCTCAAGTAAGTCACCAAGCCCCGCCTTCCAGCCTCCAAGCCAGTTAAATCAAAGGTTAACAAAATTTACGTTCACCTTGGCTGGAAGATGAAGAACTTCCGGGTCCAGATTGCACACCGGCATGAACGATAACTCCGTTATGGGCCCCATGCGTGGTGATGGTCGTCTTCATGTTGATGACCATGTGGCCAGACGGCGGTGGCCGCATCGTCGCCGACGCTTTACTCGATGCAGCCCTAGAACGAATTGGATTCCTGAAAACACTACTAAAAGATCCTGGAAATTAGCGCAAAAAAGACAAGTTTACATGACGAAATGAAGGCAAAGTGGAAAGGAACACTCAGATTGAGAGAAAAAGAAAAAAGAGCAGGACAAAGAATAGGAAAACAGACTTCATCAAAACGTTGCAAATATTTGACGAGATCTTGACTTTGACGAGTCCGACCTTGTCTCAAAAAAGAGTGATAGACTTGTATCTTTTACAAAAAAGAGGATTGTTGAAACTCGTGATCTCTATTTTTCTTCCCATAAAAATATTATGAACTGAAATTATCGGTGTCAAAAGTCTGTTCACATTCAGACTTGTACCTAATTCCTGATCCCCCGTCCCCTACCTAAGTGCTCCCCTTTATTTCTATACCTGCTGTCCCATTATATGCCCATTCAAATGTGGCTTACGACGACTCGTAACAAAAATTATATATCATAAACAGCAAGTTACAAAGGTAGAAACAATAGCAAATAATATAGAACAGATCTTTTTCTTTGAGAAAATTCAAACATTCGAATCATATTTGACTCTCAACAGGAAACCAGTACGTGATTGTTACGCTAGTTGTGCGAATGCACAACGACTAATAGGCATTTGGACAATCGCAGTGATAGCAGTTTTGATCGATAACAGAAAGTAAAATCTTGAATTACATTCAGTATCTTGCTAGGTACTTTAGATGCTCCATTGCTAAAAATACAAAGTATCGATTGCACAGCACCAAAAAAACTGAAAATGGACACAATGATGGCCACCAATGAAAATGCAAAACATGACCTCTTCATAATTACATTCGCCGAGGTGTTTTTTGTAGCAGTTGACCGGTTTTCGAGAATGATGAATAGCCGAGCATCTACACACTCGCAACATGACAACCTAGTTTTGGAGTGGGAAGTTCTGCAGTTAGGACAGCTGGTACAGAAAAACTAGTAATCTAAGTTTGGCAAACATATCGATAGCACTATGACTGTCAGGGGAGACAAAATGGAGCCAAGAAAGTGCAAGCGCTCAGTACGTAGGGCAAATTGTTGCTATCCAGAAGTTACTTTTCAAAATGGGCGGAGCTCAAGCCCACCTATACTGTTAAAAAATCGAAAATTTGGTAGAATAATATTAGAGATAATGTATATGCAAAAACTACTTCTAGTTCGAAAGAAGGGCACATGTACGGACTTCTGAGCTAATTTTTGCTATTTTATTATCCCAGTGTAGGTTACCAAGCAACCATAGGCACTTATGATTTATCACCGATACTTTAATCTGGGAGACAACCTGCCGCCTCAAATTATTTTGCACTAAGTGCCTTTAATCTCAATCACAGCGTCCCCAGAAATTTTCCTGCAGAGTCTTTTGCTCACTTTTCAATCTTGTGTCATCACTGAGCTCGGTATGAATTGTGAATCACCTTGTGTGGGATTAGCCATAAAAAGTTATAGCATATGCTGTTTGTTCAATCTGCGTGGTCTAACAGAGATTGAGTCATACGAAGAGACTTTACAAGAAAATAGATACCCTAATTTCACGCGTACAAGGCGCGGGGGAGTTTTTTCGAAAATCGAGCAGCCCAAATAGGGCAAAGGACTTTGCAACCAATAGACTGTGCCGTGCTGTATATGCTTAAATGAATCGTGCAGCATAAGGATCGTCTTTCGAAATACAGTGAAGCGGTCGAGGGGCTTGGTCGAAAAATCGAAAAAGGTGCGCCTTGTACGCGTGAAATTAGGGTAATAGAATTTATGGATAAATTCTTTATAGTGTGGAAAAAGTACTGAAAATGCTGAAGAAAATTGTGAGTTACATTCTCTAGAACGTTTTTGGAAAATACGATGTAGACTATAAGGTATGCATGCTTTGAGAAAAAGAACGTTTATCTGCGAAAAAGTAGCTCAAATCCAAATTTTCACATTGATAACTGCCTTCTACTTTTGTTAAAAAGAATCCACGAGACATTTTTGGTTAAGTTAGCCATTTTTGAACATGAAAGTTGTTAGAAAGTATTGACTCGTAATTGGCAAATGTGTTGAAACCAGAGCCAAAGAGATGCCTTAGATATAACTGTTAAGAAATAGCAGAGGAACTCGAAAAAAGAAAATAGTTAGAAAACACAGCCGGATTTACGTTTGCAAAGAAAGACAGAATCAACCAAATATGTGAATGAAAATTTCTGTCGCTGGAAATGTTGTTTCCCTATGATGCGTTCATGCGGAAAATTGATTCGAGGGAAAAAATTTTAGAGAACATTCTTGATTGTACAGAGAACGACTCGTTATTTGCAAATGGAGTGGAAACTAGCAGAAGAAATTCTTTAGATAAGCTAGACTCCTTTCTAACAAAAAAGTGAAAAGAAGCTAACACATACTTTTCGAGATAAGAGACGCAAAAAAGTTTGTAACATCCACAAAAAAGAAAATATCGCAGAGTATAGCAGAATGAAGAGTGTAACAAAATCTTCTTGATTTTCAAGAGTGGAATCAAAATTGTGAACGTATAGCTTATGAAATGGACCATAAAAAATGTAATAAAGACCGCGTTGTCTATGCGCGCAAAAAATGACCTGTAAGGTCAAATGCGAAAATACCTAGTATACAATCCACAATTCAAACTTCCCGCCCTCTTTTCATCTCTCCTGACTAACAAACGTGCAAAAAACCCAAAAAGTCCCAAAATGGAAAGAGTCTGCAGAGTTGCACTAATAAATAATGACTCGGGATGCACTGGGCAAGAGTGCAGCAATTTCCACTAAGCTCCAGAGCTTCTGAAAGCTTTTCAAAGTGCATACAAATTTTGCGCCGGATATGAACTTCTATGTGAAGGGGAAAGAAAAATCAATAGCCGGGGAACTCAGGTGAATTTCACCAGCAGCAGCACTGCCAGGTAATGAGATATCCATCGTTGACATAGGAGAATATTGGAAACGAGATGGTTACGAGGGAATGTGGGCGGAGCTTTGAGGTAGATGGGAGTATGAGTGGAGGTGAAAATAAGCAAATAAGTAGTGAGAGGTAATTGAGGATGCACTTTTAGGACAGCTGATACAAATTGTCCCCTTCAGCCAGCTGAGTTTCACAGATTTCCATCATAAAAAAAACTTAGAAATATCATGTGGATGCTAAAGAACCGAACTAGAACTATAGGATTTGGAAAACGGACAACTGTTACGAATTCTATTTTCCATGAACGTATATATCATAAAAAAAGCATTTTTTAAAAAACCGAACAATTTTCACGAATTTACTGGGATTCGTCAAGTGTTACTTTTGACGGATTTCTCAACAATACCGAGAACTGACACCGATTCAGGGAGTTTCGAAAACGAATTGCTCGAACTCTTAGGAGTTTTACAGAACAGGTTTTAGAATTAAGTGGATTTGTAACGACAACTATCACAAATTTGGGGTATTGCTAGAAAGAGGACTGTCACAAACTCAGAGACGTGTTCATAAGTGCTATCCATTCAGGAGATTTCTCGGAATTGTAAAAATATCGCAAGGGGGTCATGAACATATGTCGAAAGCGGACAACTATCACAATTTTATGTGATTTTTGAAAAACGAACAGCTTTCACAAACTAATGGAAATTTTCAGATGACGGCAAACTTGTAGACTTAGAGTTTTAAGCGGACAATTGTCACAAATTCATAAGAATAGAAAGGCGTAAAAAGCATATAGATTTTATGAAAGCAGACAACTATCACGATTTTATGGTGGTTGTTCGTAATGGACAACTGCTACAAATTCAGAAGGAGCGCCTCGGAAGCGGACAACTCTCAAAAGCTTCCTATTAGTGCACATTCCAAAAGTCCAGGCAAGGCAAGGATAACACACTATATAAATCCCCTATTCAAAGTCTCTATGGAAACATCTGAGTGCTTTCTCGTCCCAAGCCACGCCTACTATTTCCTATTATACGCATTGGAACGCAACAGGAAAGAAGCTAAGCGCTCAAAGCCGAGATAATCACACTGAGGAAGTTTTGAATCACTTTAATAGAGTGCTGAGATGGAATCTGCAAAGAAGTGAAGATTAAAGAGCCCTTGCATCGCTGAGAATGCAAGGATGCAATTTTTGGATTAGGTCCAAAAAAGGGCAACTTGCTAAAGAAACTATTGGGAGGAGATGCTCAATCGATATCGAGTACGGCAAAAGAAAAGGTTTCATTGTTGAGTAGAGTTAGGAAAATCTTTTTGCACTTATGAAAAAGGAGTTTCGGAAAAGGAATGGGGCGCCGCAGTTTGATGCATTCTCAGTAGAAAATTTCTCGTTTGAGAAAATCCATAACTGAAGTTTCAGAAATTCGAATAACTTTATTAGGTCCTAGCAATTCTTGAGCATTTTTTATAATTGTAAAATTTCTATCAAAAAACCCTCCTGCATCTGAAAATTACCCGAAAGAAATTTTCTTCGGAAGAAATTGTTCATCAGATTCAATATTATTTCTCCTTTCAAATAAAGTTTTTGTAGCTATATAAGAAGCGCTGAATTTGATTTGACTGAATGACTTTTGTGAGCTTGTTGACAACAAGTTCACTTCAACGTTGACAGCTAAGAAAGGTCGTGATTTCAGCTTTTACTCGTGGCTCATGGAAATCTGTGAATCAATTTGAGCTCAGAAAATTCTCGGAACTTTACTCTGTTACAGCGACAAGTAATAAGTGACAACCTTCTCCTGTTTTGATTTGAAAGTTCTATTAGTCCAAGGAAGAGCTAGTCGGAAGGACAAAAACGCATCAAAATTTAAGTCAAGTTTTTTCAGTGTTCTTTTTTTGTAAACGAAGATGACGCAAGATTGATCCAAAAGCTAGCAATAAATTCTATGCAAGTCAGAGGATTCCGAGAAGGCCTATTGATAATTCAATGATATAACGTTTCTTCCATAAAATGACTACTAATTCAATGACAAATACTATGCAGAAAGTCTTACAGTCTTATTACACTATACGAAAAATCCA